TTGCCTATTCAGTACCTTCCCCTTTCATTTTTCCTTCCTGATTTGGTCAGAGTGCAAGCCATGTATTCAGGAAAGGTGAGTTCTTCCCCCATTTCCAAAAGATAATCCATGATTTGTCTATGCCAATACTGATCATTCTCACTGCATTTGTCAGTGGATGAATAGTGAGAATATAACCAATATTTAAGGAAAGTATACTGGGGTTTCTGGAGAAGACTTTTGCCCCTGGGGTGGGTTAGAACCACTTCTCATACCTTCCTATATTCCTGTAATGAGGAAGTGATGGCTGGAACCACTGAAACCATCTTGACACCATAATGAATAAGCCTAAGAATAAAAGCTGGTATGGTGAGGTTGGCAGAACAGGAGGTTCTCAGGAAAGGCAGGTGTTCTCCCTTCACACAGTGCTTCCTGTTTTTTCTTCTCTTTTCCTTACAATCCTCCAAACCATGCACCCTGAATCAATCTCTCCCTACCTTCTTTCTGTGTCTGCCTTCACTTCTAGAAACCAATAGTTTTCCAAACGTCTTCATTGTCACCTCAATGCAAATGTTTAAACACTTAAGGTCACAAATTTGCTACATATACCAACATCCACCACTTCTCCAACCTCTTAGGCTGGAGTTCTTTCCCCTCTTCCCACATATCAGAGCCTTTTGGAAAGAGTATTTTAATGAAAGCAACAATGACAGATCTACAGTTTTACTGAAGGCCACCCTACTTCCATAAGACTCTTAGATCTCTTTTTATCACTGAATTGTTTAGCAGTACATTTATTAGTGTTCAAAAACTATTTTTTATTAATTTACAAAAAAGTAGGCTCAATTAATTTATTCCAAAGGAAAAAAAAAAAGGTCAGGAAAAGACAATAGGTTACCTGAAATGAGCTGCCTAAATAAAATGATAGAAATAAGTTCTATTGATGCAAGGGTATTTCAACAACGATTTCAGAACTGACATGTTGATAATACGAAGACCTGAGTTACAACATCTCATATTTGTTTAGTGCTTCGTGAGTTACAAACAGCCTATATCTATTACCTCATCTGAGCATTCTCTGTGTGATATATCACTTTTATGTATAACAAGTTCGTACAATGATATTGGTACACAATTTGAGAGACACCATATGATCAGAGTTCACTCACAAACACATATTTCAATTAAGTGGATTTGAAGCTTTGAAAACAACAAAAGGAAAAAAAATGAAAATGAAAAATAAATTCTCCAGAATGGAGTCTAATATATTAGGCAGGCCAGATGTAGGACACTATACTTACTTCTGCATGTTGTATTTTAAAAGGGACATTGTCAAAATAATGTATCCAGACAAAGGCAACCAAGATGATGTCTGGAAATTATCTTAAATGAAAAATGTAAGAACTGGAAATGTTTAGCCTATAAAAGAAAAAATTTCAGAGAAGACATCATAGACATCTTTAAATTCAAGGGCTATCAAGAAAAAAGTAGCAAGTTTCTTCCCCTCATGGTTCCCACAGTAGAACTAGTGTCAATGAGCAGAAGTTAAAAAGGCAAAGTGATCAACATAAGAACATAGAGGATTTTCTAACATCCATCTCTTCCACTCTTCTCCAATCTTCCAGGCTATTCAACACAAAGATGAAATCTTCTAAAATCTAAATTTGTCTAGTAATAGACTAGACTACCTGCGAATTAGAAATACCTGAAGAGGGGGCGCCTGGGTGGCTCAGTCGGTTGGGCGTCCGACTTCGGCTCAGGTCATGATCTCGTGGTCCGTGAGTTCAAGCCCCGCGTCGGGCTCTGTGCTGACAGCTCAGAGCCTGGAGCCTCTTTCAGATTCTGTGTCTCCCTCTCTCTCTGACCTTCCCCCATTCATGCTCTGTCTCTCTGTGTCTCAAAAATGAATAAACGTTAAAAAAAAAAAAAAAAAAGAAATACCTGAAGAGTTTCTGATACCCTTCCTCAGGAATTATGTAAGAGAGATTCTTATATTGGCAGGATGAGCCAAATAACTAATTTCCATAAACCCTTCCAACTTAAAGACTCAAGGATTGCATGTTCTGAGAGCAGCCCCACTCAATTTATTTGTGTAACCAACTTATCTTTCAAAGTAGTGAGGTAACGAAATATATAATTTGCAAAACATGTGGGTAAACAACTAAAATCTAACCTACAGGGATTGGCATTGATCAACCCTAGATGATCATCCCTAGAACCTAGAACAATACCAGGCACAGAGTAGGAGCTCAATAATATTTATGATTTAATGAATAATGTAACTATCTAAAAGTCAGGTAATTCTGACAGGTTTCCAAACATTTTCAACACAAGTTAGCTCTCTGAGCTTCAGCAACAACCTGATAAGGCAGGGTAGGCAGGTTAGTATGCCCATTTTATACATCTTATCTTATTGCCCTCCCCCAAGAATGCTCTTCAGTTAACATTATGTTTTTAGGTTTCATCAAAATTTTTAAAAGAAAAACCCATCACAAGAACATCTTGTGCAAAATCATGATTGAAACTATCACTGTCCATCATACCCGTCATATAAGAAACAACATTATAAATTCCTCCTGCAATTAATGACAAGAAAGTTTGCCTTGCCATACTGGTTTGTCTGTTCTGCCCTCCCTCCCTTCCTCCTTTCCTTTTTTTTTTCCTTTTTTTTCTTTTCTAAATAAGATAATGGGGACTCTATAAACAAACATGGTTCTTTTTCCTCAGAAGTTGCCAGAAAGTTCAGTCAACCTTGTGGCTCTAACTTTGACGTCCCAAATTCCTAACATAAATCTCTCCAACATTATAACAAATCAGGACTTAGAAAATTTTTTGTTTTTAAAGCAATGGAATTTTTGGTTTGAAAATATTACTTGGAATTTTGATACATAAAACAGATAAAAGTACAGCTATTAAGAACAGAGCTTAGAGCCCTTCCAACTAAGCCTCCTTCAAAAACCCTCTACCCACAGGTGACCCTAGATCCCAATGGTCATCATTTGAAAACTACTGCTCTATAATATTTTAAATTATTTTAGCTGCCTTGTTTCATGCATTTTTATTATAAACCCCGTGAAAATGTTTCAGTATTAGGCACATGAAAACTGTGTATTCCCATATATGCTTACACATGAGAAAATGGAAATGTTAGACATTAACAATAGGTAACCAATGGGTGGAGCTGAGATTATAACCCAAAACTGACTTTAGACTCGAGCAATTCCTAGGTTTAAACCTCAGCTTTTCACTGTGTAAGGTTAAGAGTTATTTAATTCATCTTAGTTAAAATTTACACATATATAAAAATGGTTACAATAATATCTATCTTACAACCTTGTTTTGAGAATTAAATGAAATAAAGTGTGTAAATAACTCTACACAATACCTGACTACATAATAGGTACTTATTATTATCTTCATTATTTTTTGACTCCTATCCCTTTGGTCTGGTCAATATGTTACGCCAATAGGAATTTTTTTAAAAGGCTGGGGAGGGACAGGGTAGGAGATACTAAGTCTGGAACCTGGAAGCCACAGGGATAACATAGATTACTGGAAAGCAAGTGCAGGATAAGACTGACCAAGAGAAAGTTATTAGCCTAGTATTGATTAATAATGTTGAGGGAAAAGTATAACTGTCAAATTTTGCTAACAAAAGAAACTAGGTCATCATAAAAGGCTGAAAATGAGGCAGACTTAGAGTAGTACTTAAAGATTTTGTCACCTACCCAATCACCATCAAACCCAATAGATAAGGGAAAGTTTTTACTTTCTTGAGCCTTGTTCTATCCCAGCCATTTTACTTTCAAGGAAACACATTAAATTGCTTGTATGTGAAGAATTAAAACTCAACAGAGCCATTGGGGAAAACATTGAAGAGCATTTGTTGGCCCAGCCCGGCAAAACTGTCCTCCAGATCCTCTATCAGACCCCTACAAGAGGAAATCTTTTAAAGTAATGTTTTAGCTCTACCACTGACATCTACCTATAAACTAATATGATGTTTGGCATGGAAGATTGTTTATTTGGATGTGCGAAAGTTCTGGCTGTTAACTTGGAGAGAAAAGTTATTACTCTACCTCCCTTCAGAGACCATCCAAACACTTGTCTGACAGGGTGAATACCTATTACACACAAAAGTGGGGCTGAGCCAGACTTCCGCAAAACTAAGTAGGTGAACTTCTAACACTTTCTTTCCACCTTTTTTGTCTGTGAGCCCCATCTACCCTCAGATGTCCCAGTACTAAATCCAGGTATCTAGCTGAACTTTTTGCCAGGATTTTGCTATTATCTAATTGTCATCTGACACCCCTTTTCCCTTTCCTTTATCTTTTCAAGCAGGTTATAGCTGCTAAGTGTTCACAGGAACATTTAAATTTTAATTGGTATTTAAAGAATATTGTCGAAAGTCTTCAGAACTTAAAAGAATAAAACCCAACTGAAAGAATTTGAGGTTCCATGGTGGGTCTGAGGGAAATGTTTATAAGGTCACACAAGTTAATCACCCCGTTGGTGACCATCTACTACCCTTATATTCAAGGCTGACCTGGAAAGAAATAGTCATCCCCCTAGAGATACCCAGAAGAAGGAAATTATAATAGATAGATGACAGATAGATAGATAGATAGATAGATAGACAGATGGATAGATACAGATATATAGATATATAGATATACATGTAATATATACTATGTATTGATACTATAGATAGTAAATACTATGTGTGTTGTGTAAATACATAGTATATTTAGGGTGATGTACTTATTTACACATATACAGTATATATAGACATATATAGTACATACTATATATAATAGACAACATATATTGATAGCATATATAGTACACACACATATAGAGTATATACCATATGTATACTATATACATATATATGATTGATAAATTAGAGTATATATATATGTGTGTGTATATATATATATATATATATGTATATATATATATATTAATGCACCCCAAGCCTCCTAAGTTTTTTTTTCTTTTTTGCTTCTTTTTCTTCTTCATGATAGACAGATAATGTGCCAAGGTTGTAGCAAGGTTTGAGGGAGACACATGTCACAAAACAGCATGAACATCCAATCATCATGCTTATGAACTACAAATGAATCCAAGCCCTGTGAGTTTTTAAAAAATATTTATGAAGCTTATTTTGCAGGTCACACAATCTTTACAAATGTTTCCATAATTGTATCTTGGCTGGCTGCAGAGTCACTCAGCATTATTAATTAAGAATGTTTTTGGACTAACAGCTCATTTCCAATAAGAATCTTCCACAGTAATGTAGTTAGGCAGCCAGGTGACCTCCAGAAAGCAGGTTCTTAAATTCCCATGAATATAGTTCATGAGGCTGAGCTGCCAGAAACAGCAAGTCACAGATTCCATGACCTCCATCCACCCTTTTCTTTATCCTGAAGAGTATAGGATAGTTCACAAGGTACATACACAGGCTAAATACCCAAGGGATGATTGCAACATTGACAAGTTCAAATCATTTAAATCCAGAAAAGGAGTTGCCTTGGTATAGAAAGATATGGGATCATACGGAGAATTGGGAAGAATTAAATTAAAAAAACAGAATATGAAGACGAAAGTAAACCAGGCATTTAGAAGACTGGGTGGGGGGGCCCCCAAGGTCGAATTCAAATACTTCATGTATAACTATTATAACAAGATGACAGAGGGTATTTTTTAAAAGCCTTAAAGTAGAGACACTCAGGCCAAAACATCTGTGGAATTGAAAAAAAAAAAGAAAAAGAAAAGCCCTTATGATTGCCAACATCTCCATTCTGCTTCCCTCCCTGTTCAGCACCAGCAATGAGCAATACATTAAAAAGGTGTTTAGACTGTCAGTAAATGTGATTGATTTTTTTTCTATTCTGCTAAAAGCCTGCTACATGGTGGAACAAAAAGCAAATGCTTTCCTCATATCCAGGTCTGGGTGGAACTTTTACATTATTTTAACACCCATCAAGGGATAGCTTTGTCTCTCCATAGAGACAGGGAAAGCAATCCATGTCCACAAAAAGCTTTTTGGCCTTCCATTGTCCCCCTTTCCCTCCAGAACCCAATGGAATTTCACTCAAGACTAGAAAACCTCACAATGGAAAATTAATACAAATGGTCTATCTATTTACTGGACCAAAATGGGATGAAGAAACATGAAAGCCTGGATTATCTTAGAACTGAGCTCTGTAGGATGGGAACAAAGCTGGGTGGAACTAATCAGTTCAGAATAAATGGGGCTGTACTTAGTGTTCTATTTTTCCATCCATCAAACTGACAGTCAGAATCACCAAGATAGAAATGATCATTCATTACTGAACTAGGAAAAGAAAGGCAGACATTGGAACCACATGCCAAAATTGAGGATCAGGTGTCTTTTAATTTAGTGTGGACTGCAGATGGTAAAGTGATTATTATTAACTAGTTATATAATTGCTTACTTAGGGTTAAAGGTCACACCTCCACCTGTAACTTTGCCAGGAACAGAATTGTCAGAAAATGCAATTTCTTATAGAAAAGACAAAAGAGCCAGATATAATTATAAATAGTTTTATAATGTAAATTCTCAGATTTTACATTATGCAACTCTGTATTATCCTGCAAATCCACTAAATAACTGATAAGTTTCTGAAGGACTTAAGTCCAATATAAAAGATCTGTAACTAAATCTAAGCAACATCTCTCAAGGGCTTTTATAAACATCATAGTCATTATTTCCAGTTCACACGGTACAATTCATGGTTATGGTAATATTTTACTGTTTTTCTGAGTCCCTGTAAAGTCAAACTGCATGGGATAAAAAGTAAGGAAGGAGTTGTATTGGCTTGCTGTAATTCAATTTATTACTTTACTGTCAGAATGGAAATTGAATATAAGGAGGCTCTTACCTGGAGATTTTCTGGGGCAGGGAAAGTTTATGGTAGTGGTACCTTTTCTATGAATATTCTGTGTTTTTTTGAGACTGAAGAACATCTGGAAAAAATGTGACTTATGGGAGGAAAAACTCTGCAAGGGATATGCATGCCCTATGATCTAAGTGATTATTAGCATCTAGGTTTATTTCCAAGATGTATGACTAGAATTTGTTCTGTTAGAGGCTATTGTTGCTCTTCTCTATACTGTGTATTATATAGATAGAACTTGATCAAGACTCCTGCTACCTCAGGATTTGGGGGGGAGGAAGAAAAAAGAAAATTATTAACCATCAGGTCTGGAGCAGTTTAATAACTGAAGAAATAAAAAGTACCCAAAGGGTGAAGAAAAAAGTTTGTTCTATCTATTCTCCAATTAATAAGAAATAGATATTTTACTATCTATGTTGGCAAAAAAGGTAGAAGCCAAGATTATTACTGTTCATATTCTTGGAATAATTAAGCTTTTATTAATTTTAACCAGCCAACATAATAGTGTGTTCCCCATGCTGAATTTGATAAGGCAGTAAAACACTTTCCTCACCAAACCCAGGCCGAGGTAACTTTCTTCCTAACTTCTGTAATATCTACCATACTACAGCTGTCATTCGGCACATATCACCATCTCTGTCCGACTCACCTGTACAAAGAAAGCACAAGACACATCAGTGAGACTGCCACCTCCAAAGTTTCAGAAGGGAAAAGGAAAACACACGTTTCCTTTGCTCTTGAATGCCTGAAAATCTCAAGGGAAATGTTAAAAGCCTCACTCCCACTGGGATGCTGAGAGCAGTGCACAAGGCTACCGTGCTATGTCTAATTTTCCTCTTCCTGTCCAAATGCTCCTTCACCTCTGCCAATTCAATAGGTCTTTTATCCAGTCTGGAAAAAGGCTGAGAATCCAGTTTATTCTGTTGGCATCTCCTGCTCAAATAGTCTCATTCTTGCTCCATATGGGACCTTTTTAAGTTAGAAGCTACAAATTTGGCATGTGCTGTTTATAACACTAAAGTAATAAATAACCAAGCTATAACTGCCAAATGGGGTACAAATGACCACTAAACTATGAAGATGAAAACAGCTCATTAATTAAACTTCACATTTTATCACACCACAGATAATTGTATATTGACTGTCAACTTCAATGCCTTGAACACGGTAAAAGCCCAAGAAAGGCCTGTGATTTATAATTAATGAAACTATTTTAGACATATTTTATTTTAAAGTTCTTACTAGAGAGTTGTGATATCAATCTTTCCCAACAAAATACTGCTAACATCAGCAGTACATGGAAAGTTTCCACAGCAAGGGAAGCTGTCTTTTAAAGACTTACATTTTATTTAAACAGTGTGTATATACCCCAGTTTGACTTTTATGATAACCAGCAATATCAGTAGCCCAAAGTAGATATTCTATTGAGCAACCTAGCTTAGTATATTCTGTTTCCAAGTGAATCTCCATGTATCCATCTCTGTATGCAGAAACAATCAAGCCTCCTAAGGTCTGAAGGGGAAATTCTCTCCCTCTATCAGTGCCACATCAAGACAAGCAATCTTTTGGTACCTTTAGCATATCTGTTTCCAATGCTCTAACCCCACATTCTTATTCCCCATAATCTAACAGAGACAGTGCATAACTATTTGATCGGGTCTTCATATAGGCAGAAGAATACTCACTGGCCGCCAAAAGATACAAATCAGCTTGTCCTTTATAAATATAAAAATGATTGAAACCAACAGTGCTTTTATGGCTAGCCAAAGAAAAATACCTGTCAAAGAGAAATCTATTTCTATAGAACCTGGGTCAACTTTCTAAGTCTAAATGCATCTCAGTAATATAAAATTCTTTTCTACATCCATAGAAATTGATATTCATTACTCACCAAAAGCCAATAGATAACATGTGGTAAATGCATGAAAGAAACCAATGATTTCTTGCCAGCCACATGGTAGACACTCATAAATACTTTTTTATTAGTGGATTGTTATACTTTAAGCATTTCCTCCATGAAGTGATATATGCTAAGGATTATTTTTTTTTTCTTTTAAGTTATATAAGACCCATGAACCAGAAAATTTTGGTACACCCTAAAGATGTTTGCAGAGAGGAAAAATTTTTTTCTGTTATTTACAAACATTTTCTGATTTAATCATAAGCAGCATGGTTTGAGGCTCAGAACCAGTATGAAGCATCCAAATTTATTATGCTTTATCATCTTGGGTGATTATTTTGTTCTCACAGGCCCTTCTTGTAGCCTACAGACAAGAAGAACTAACTAAATAAATAAATAAATAAATGTGTACCAATCTTTGTTATTTTTATCTTTAATTAGACCCAAAAATATGCATAACAAATGAAGGACTTTTATGGGAAAAAAACCACCCATATTCTGAGTGACTTAGAATGATAAACAGAACACATTTCTTCATTTTCTAGACAGAAAACAATGTCTCTCACATATGCATAACTACTTGCCAGAGATGTATGAAGATGCTATTGTATTTAATAAAATAATAAAATAGTTGCTAAAGAGCTTTACTACAGTCATAATAACTGTTTTCCACTATGGATTTTTTTTAAATAACAAAGAGTAAAAGTGTATGTGTGTATGCATGTGTCCAGCGGGGAATTCAAAAAATGGTCCTCGCACTCAAAAAGATTCAAACCATTGCTATGTGATTTGTGGCATAACTTCTTTGGGCACAACTTCTGTTGTGTACAATGATACCATGTATGGTGTCAACTATCTGCATCATGATTAACAACTAGCACATGAATAAGACAGTCAACAGAATATGAAAAAGCTTCAACCTGAGCAAATATCAAAACATACATTTACATTCATAAGAGTGCTGCTCTCTTTTTAGTATTGCATGAATTGTAAGATGCTAGAATAGAATAGTAAAGGAGACTGACACAATCTCTTCCACTCGACATTTTAAGAGATTTAATAAGAGAAGAAATGAGAGGCTAGGTTAGGCGGAGCACTGGACGGTCATGCCTGGTGATTTTAAATGTGCTAAAGGGTGTTTTTAAGTCACCAACAAAGGTCAATGAAAACACATCGATCATTCCTTATTCTTAATGGACTATTAGTTTCATACTGAATTCAGAAACTTTATTAAACTGTATCCGAATTTCAAGTAAGGATTTTAATGAGATTTCTGTGGGAAAAAAATGAAGTGTTATGTTC